GAAATCTTGTTTAATAGGACTAAAATCAGAAAGGTGACAGGTGAGTCTACGAGAGAGCGTGTTTGTTGTGAAACCAATATATGTTCCGGGTTTATTCTTAGCATCAGAGATACAATCTCTGAACGGGCATGGAAATTGATACACTACATTGATTTTTGTAGCGGATTGTGTTGTTGTAGGCTTATTAGACACTATGAGGACAACTCTTTACATATATATATATATATATATATATATATATATATATAGATAGATATAGATACACCTAGTGAGCCAGACAAACTTGTCTGGCTCACTAGGTGTATCTAGGTCTGCTCTACGGTTGTATTGAACTCTTTTGTTAGTTAGTTGTTACTCGTATCAGGGTTTTTTCTTTGGGCTTCAGACCTGCATCTGTGCGATTTTTTTGTCGGCAGAAGTTTATGTTTGTAGCTCTTTCTTTTTTTAAAAAACTTTTTTTTTTATATATATATATATATGGAGGGTTCCTAGGTTCTACTGCTAGGCTTTGTCTTTACAAGAATCTGAGTAAACCAAAAATGGACTGTTGCTACTATAGCTGGACAGAATACTCTCCAAAACTTAAAAATGTTGAACTAACTTCTAAGTGACAAGACCAAGATTCCTCATTTATATTGTTCCGTCCTGGGTATGACGATAAAGTACGTCCGGTAGCAAGCCCTCTGATCTTATTTCCTGTTGTTCTCAGGTTCACCTTCACCCGGGATGGTAGCACGTGTTAGGGTTCTATACTATAACAAATAATGAACCCCCAATCCCATAGTCGATTAAATACATTATGAAAGTATAAAAATACATTTTTATAGTAAAAAATTTCTAGATTTTAACAGTAAAAGAGAAATTACTAAATTTCCCATTTAAAGAGTTTGTATGCCATTAAACAATCCAAACTAAACCCTACTTAATTTATGTTGTTAACGAAGTTGCACAAAAAAATTTAAATTGCAATCATACCAGATATAAAAGCAAACATTTCTCAGCATATCTTAAACAGACTACAGCAGATCCTTTAAAATAGACTTTCAATATTGGGTCAAAGTTGTACTATGACTAAGACAGTAGTATAGAACGTCATCTGTGTATACTATTATTTTCTCAGATTCAGTAACAGAAAATCCGTTTACAATAACATTTCATTTATTAAATTCCAAAAAAATTACTTGAATTTTCGCAGCTTTTTAAAACCAAAACGTGTTTTTCGCTAAACTATACCCGAAATCTAATTATTACAATTAGTTTAACAAATTCTATGGAGTCGACAAAAAGAATTTATTTTTCTATCGAATTTATTTCTATCGAATTTTATTTCCTGTCTTTCTTCTTTCGAATAAGCACTAAGATTTTGAGGATAAAATTCATCACTGCCCCACCGCCATGGCAGATGTTGATTTCCCGCCGAGATGTTTTCCTAGTTTCAGCAGAGTGTTCCAAATTATTTAAATATCATTGAATTTGTAATTTATATCATCAATGTTATAAAAATGATTTTAAAGTGTACGACAGATTGTAAACGATTCACTTTCTTCTAAGGTACGCAGTTTTTAAGAATTTAAGCGCAATATATTGGCAGTTAGGTCTCATCATTTTATATTTGAAATGGTTAGATATAACCGTAAGTTTTAGACAAACAGTTTATTTTCTCGCATTTTTCACTTGTATCATAGTCTTCTAGCTTCTTACATATGAGAGAACATTGATCTTCAAAAGGATAAATGCAATTACAAAGCGTTATCTTCTGTCTTCTTAATACAAGTTCTTTTATTGTCCACTCTCATTAATAGTAGTTTTTCTCATATTCTCTAACACTCAGCAACCCCCTTGCATCCTAGTGGCTTTATTGCCTTGGTTCTTCAGAAATTCATGTACAATGTCAATCATTATATTCTATTATCTTCTGTCTTCTTAATTCCAGTTCTTTTATTGTCCTCTCTCATTAATAGTAGTTTTTCTCATATTCTCTAACACTCAGTAACCCCTTGCATCCTAGTGGCTTTATTGCCTTTGATGTTCAAAAAATTGAAATGCAATGTCAATCGTTATCTTCTGTCTTCTTAATTCCAGTTCTTTTATTGTCCTCTCTCATTAATAGTAGTTTTTCTCATATTCTCTAACACTCAGTAACCCCTTGCATCCTAGTGGCTTTATTGACTTTGATCTTCAAAAAATTGAAATGCAATGTCAATCTTTATCTTCTGTCTTCTTAATTCCAGTTCTTTTATTGTCCTCTCTCATTAATAGTAGTTTTTCTTATATTCTCTAACACCCAGTAACTCCTTGCATCCTAGTGGCTTTATTGCCTTTGATCTTCAAATATTTAAATGCAATGTCAATCGTTATCTTCTGTCTTCTTAATTCCAGTTCTGTTATTGTCCTCTCTCATTAATAGTAGTTTTTCTCATATTCTCTGACACTCAGTAACCCCTTGCATCCTAGTGGCTTTATTGCCTTTGATCTTCAAAAATTTAAATGCAATGTCAATTTTTATCTTCTGTCTTCTTAATTCCAGTTCTTTTATTGTCCTCTCTCATTAATAGTAGTTTTTCTCATATTCTCTAACACTCAGCAACCCCTTGCATCCTAGTGGCTTTATTGCCTTTAATCTTCAAACATTTAAATGCAATGTCAATCGTTATCTTCTGTCTTCTTAATTCCAGTTCTTTTATTGTCCTCTCTCATTAATAGTAGTTTTTCTCATATTCTCTAACACTCAGCAACCCCTTGCATCCTAGTGGCTTTATTGCCTTTGATCTTCAAAAATTGAAATGCAATGTCAATCTTTATCTTCTGTCTTCTTAATTCCAGTTCTTTTATTGTCCTCTCTCATTAATAGTAGTTTTTCTCATATTCTCTAACACTCAGTAACCCCTTGCATCCTAGTGGCTTTATTGCCTTTGATCTTCAAAAATTTACATGCAATGTCAATCGTTATCTTCTGTCTTCTTAATTCCAGTTCTTTTATTGTCCTCTCTCATTAATAGTAGTTTTTCTCATATTCTCTAACACTCAGTAACCCCTTGCATCCTAGTGGCTTTATTGCCTTTGATCTTCAAAAATTGAAATGCAATGTCAATCGTTATCTTCTGTCTTCTTAATTCCAGTTCTTTTATTGTCCTCTCTCATTAATAGTAGTTTTTCTCATATTCTCTAACACTCAGTAACCCCTTGCATCCTAGTGGCTTTATTGCCTTTGATCTTCAAAAATTGAAATGCAATGTCAATCGTTATCTTCTGTCTTCTTAATTCCAGTTCTTTTATTGTCCTCTCTCATTAATAGTAGTTTTTCTCATATTCTCTAACACTCAGTAACCCTTTGCATCCTAGTGGCTTTATTGCCTTTGATCTTCAAAAATTGAAATGCAATGTCAATCGTTATCTTCTGTCTTCTTAATTCAGTTCTTTTATTGTCCTCTCATTAATAGTAGTTTTTTCTCATATTCTCTAACACTCAGTAACCCCTTGCATCCTAGTGGCTTTATTGCCTTTGATCTTCAATAATTGAAATGCAATGTCAATCGTTATCTTCTGTCTTCTTAATTCCAGTTCTTTTATTGTCCTCTCTCATTAATAGTAGTTTTTCTCATATTCTCTAACACTCACAAACCCCTTGCATCCTAGTGGCTTTATTGCCTTTGATCTTCAATAATTGAAATGCAATGTCAATCGTTATCTTCTGTCTTCTTAATTCCAGTTCTTTTTATTGTCCTCTCTCATTAATAGTAGTTTTTCTCATATTCTCTAACACTCAGTAACCCCTTGCATCCTAGTGGCTTTATTGCCTTTGATCTTCAAAAATTGAAATGCAATGTCAATCGTTATCTTCTGTCTTCTTAATTCCAGTTCTTTTATTGTCCTCTCTCATTAATAGTAGTTTTTCTCATATTCTCTAACACTCAGTAACCCTTTGCATCCTAGTGGCTTTATTGCCTTTGATCTTCAAAAATTGAAATGCAATGTCAATCGTTATCTTCTGTCTTCTTAATTCCAGTTCTTTTATTGTCCTCTCTCATTAATAGTAGTTTTTCTCATATTCTCTAACACTCAGTAACCCCTTGCATCCTAGTGGCTTTATTGCCTTTGATCTTCAAACATTTAAATGCAATGTCAATCGTTATCTTCTGTCTTCTTAATTCCAGTTCTTCTATTTTTATCTCATATTCTCTAACACTCAGTAACCACGTGTGTTTATTTTTTTTATTCAATTCACCCCATGTAAGTTGATAATACCACTAATACATATCTGGTAGTGAAAGAGAATGAGAAAACTGTAGAAATAACTGGAAACCCAATCCTAAAGAAGAAACAAGGAATAAACCTTTACTTCTGTTTAAAACACAGGAGAGGAGTTCGAACCAGGCGATAGGCGAACTTATCTACTTCTATTGAGGAAAAATAAATAATAAATAGGAAATAAAATTTCAGATATTAAGCAGAGGCGTTACAAGTATAGAGTTGCAGTAAACTTTTTAGAGCTGAAGCAGACTTTAGAGGGAACTGGAAACCCAATCTTAAAGAGTAAACAAGGGATAAACCTCTATTCCTGTTCAAAAGAGTGTAAACCGGATGATAACCAAACCCTATCAACTACCTTAGATGTACAGAGCTGAAGCAGAATTTAGAAGGAAATCGGAAACTCAATCTTAAAGAGGAAACAAAGAATAAATCTCTATTCCTGTTAAAAAAAAAACTGGGGAGGAGTGTGAACCTGACGATAGGCAAACCTATCGACTACGTTAGGAGTAGCAGACTTTAGAAGGAACCAGAAACTCAGTCCTAAAGAGGACACAGATTAAAAAGGACACTGTGAAAAAGACCGGGGATAGGTGTGAACCAGATGATAGGCGAATTTATATACTACTTTTAGTGGCTTTATCACCTTACTTGGGGTGAAATGATTAATAAAAACAGTAAGCAATTTTATATAAAGAAGTTCAGTATCGACAGTTTCTTTTATCCTCATTGGGTTCCTGCAACCAAATCACGCGGATACGGAGAGACAACAGTAGTTTCATTCGACTACCAAATAGAGCCGTATTTTTTCTTTACTCAGATGACGCGCTTACATCTTCGAAATTTAATGCACAAAATTGAATATTAGGAAAGCAGGTAGCATATTAGGCGGGAAAATTTTTTTTCTTCCATCTTTGCTTAATAATTTCGATAATGGCGAATCATTTTAATGACATAGTAGAGAAAACGAATTCTGTATATTTTTTTTTATGTGAGTTGCCTTTTTTGTTGCTTTTTGCATTTTTGTAATACAGTCAGCAACATCACGATGATTACTAACATTCGAAAAACAGGATGTTATCAAGTAAGAATTTGTTTGTAGATTTTACATTGTTACAGGTGCAAATGCTTATCGTGAGCCATTAGTACCGAAGGTGTTCAGTCCTCATCAGGTAACGTGAACCTGTCGCGTCCTCGTGTTGTCGAATCTACATCAAAATATGCGCTTTTTCAAGTGCTATAGTGAGAGTTCAATCCGTGCATCGGGGAGAGTAGAATAAAAGTCATATATTCTGGCTAAGTGTCGGACAAAGGAGACAAAAGAAAATTCAGCCTAGAAAGTAGAGTAGAACAATCCACCCCCATGAATTGAATAAAGTGTTGAATTTTAAATTCCTAGAAGGTAACTAATACGAAGAAAACTTATTGAAAACAAGTAATGTGAGCATTTTTCTCTTCTACTTCCTTATTGAATACAAGACCCAAGAGCCACCAAATGTAGAGGGTTACTGAATGAGGTTATTGTATTTGTACAAGAGAAGGAAGTAAGAAGTGCAATTTATAAGGATATGTGGGAAAGATCAGATAACTTGAAATAGTCAAGCGTGTAGCGATCGTAGAAATACACACTATAAAGTAGTTGTTCTTGGAAATAAGCTTACCGAATATAAATTTCCCCTTGTTAATGGAACACAAAGGGAATGAGGATGACTAATCCTTGTAAACGTGTCTTGGTGGGTCTTGGCTGTGAAGGTCATAAGTGGTGAAACTAAGGAATGCAGCTCGTCTGAGTATATTGGTCAGAAGATTAATATATATCGGCAATATATTTTTCTCAGTACATTGTGGCGGTTTGAAAGTCCATAAATCAAATTCAAAGTCCATAATTCAAATTCTTCACATCTGAAGAAGTTCAGAGACTATAACGACTGAAATGTTGCAAGTTTAACAACAAAATAGCATACTAACTCAAAAATTCCTATAAAATATAGCATCTATAAAAAACATTGTGATTATTTATGTAAAATGGAAGGAAGGAAGGAAGAGAGACAAGAGGGAAGGAAAGAAGAGTGGCAAGAAGGAAAGGATAATGAGAAGAAAGGAAGGAAGGAAGCGAAGGAAAGGGAAAGTAAGGAAGGGAAGCAAGAAGAAAGAAAGAAAGAAAGAAAGAAAGAAAGAAATAGAAGTAAGAGGGAAGAAAAGAAAAGAGAGAGGCTCCAGAGAAGGGAGGAAAGAAGGAAGAAAGAGAGGCTAGAGAGAAGGAAAGAAAGAAGGAAGGAAGAAAGAATGAAGTAATAAAGAGATGCAAGAAAGAAGAAGGAAGGAAGGGAGGAAGGCAAGAGAGAAGTAAGGAAAGAAGGAAGAGAGGCAATAAGGAATGAAGGAAAAAAAAGAGAAAGGCAAGAAGGATGGAAGGGTGGAACCAAGGAACGAAGATAGAAATCAGAGGAGGAAGGAAGAGAGGCAGGAAGGAAGGAAGGAAGGAAGGAAGGAAGGAAGGAAGGAAGGAAGGAAGGACGGACCAGAGGAAAGAGGGAAGAGAGGTAAGAGGGAAGGAAGGAAGGAAGGAGAGAAGGAAGGAAGAGAATCAAGAAGGATGGAATGAATGAATGAAGGAAAGAAGGGAGGAAAAAAAGAAGGAAGAAAGGGAGGCAAGTGGGAATGAAGGAATAAATGAAGAAAAAAAAAAGAGTGTTAAGAGGGAGGAAGAAAGGCAACATGTGAAGGAAGGGAAATGAAGGAAAAGAAGCATGATGGAAGGAAAAAGAGAGCCAAGAGAGAAGGGGAAATGAAGAAATAGGGGCAAGAAGGAAGGAAGGAAGGAAGGAAGGAAGGAAGGAAGGAAGGAAGGAAGGAAGTATAGAAAAGAAGGAAGAGAATCAAGAAGGATGGAATGAATGAATGAATGAATGAATGAAGGAAGGAAGGAAGGAAGGAAGGAAGAGAGGCAGATTACGAAGGATTGAATGAAGAAAAAAGGAATAATGTTAGAGGGGAGGAAAGAAGTCAAGAAGAAAGATAGAAAGAAAGAAAAAAGAGAACGAAGGGAGAAAAACAAGGAAGGAAGGAAGGAAGGAAGGAAGGAAGGAAGGAAGGGATTTCGTGTGGAGTCCTCTCCATGAGTGGCGAACACAGTATGTCAATCATTTCTTAGTTTGAATTTCTAAATCTTTAAATGTCGCAAGAATTACTTAACAATAAAAAAAATGAAAGAAACCAATCGGGAAGCGTAGAAAAGCAACGAATGATGATAAGACAATTAACACGCAAAGGGTGAAACAGTGACCCTATGTACTGAAGATGATGCCAAACGGAATTGAAAGCTTGGGAGAAATTAATCAAATTCCGGAAGATGTACTTCTGGTATTTTTACAATAAAATATATTTTTATACTTTCATAATGTTCTGACACCAGATTGCAGTACACTATTTGCCTATAGTTGGGGCCCTAACAGGTGCTAGCACCCCTAGTCAAGGTGGGCCTGGGAACAACAGCAATTAAAAAGTAGTTGACTGTTCCTAAAAACCCTCCGATTGGTGGCCTTCCTGCCGGATGTATTTGCAGAATATTGTCATTATAACTGTGTTGGCGGATTCAATCATTTTTTTTTTTTGATTTTACGATATTGTTGTGTACGTTTGTTTGGGAGAGCAGTAATTTTGTTAAGAAATGACAATATTCTCCACAAGTGACAATAACTGACGTTATTTTCAGTTAAGAATTTGAAAATAGCGTTCTCTACATTCCTCCAGTTCCTAAGAACATTTTGTTTTTTGTTATTATTAGTTACGTCCTTTAATTAAATTCATTTCGTGTTTTGCTTTGAGAAAGTCCACATTAGACGAAACGCGTCAGCAATAACTACAGTTTTCCTATTGTCATTTCTATCTATAAATATTGTCTTTTCTACAGGTTAACTCTGAGAAATTTTAATATATATATATATATATATATATATATATATATATATATGTATGTGTGTGTGTGTGTGTATAATCAAATATATGGATATAGATCCGACAGTGTGAAGAAAAATATACGGAAAAAACAAACAAAAATCCTAATATACAATTATGCTGTTTTAATATTAATGTAATGGCAACCTATGCATGTTATGTTTGTTATCTGTTTTGATAAGTCGTACTCTTATGTTCATCGTCTTTTCATGTTGAATTAAATATAGTCTAATGTTAATTATGTTTTTATGAATATGTCCTGAAGATGGTCTACTAGACCGAAACGTCCGACGTTGATATTAACATATATATATATATATATATATATATATATATATATATATATATATATGTAAATTGCCGCCATTTTATATTTTTAAATTCGTGCATGAGATTTGTTTTTTTTTAAACTTTTTCGACTGCACATTATAGTAGGGTCTGTTGAGCACAACCATTAACACAACCATTAACACAACCACCACGTATTTTATATGAATATAAAAGTGAACATTGAAACCAACCCCAGAGGCGACAGTCTGTTTTATAGTAAACGTGTTCGTCAGACCATGTGCGTTGTGTTTTTGCTTGACTTTATATATATATATATATATATATATATATATATATATATATATATATATATATATATATATATATATATATATATATATATATATATATATATATATATATATATATATATGGGTCAGTAATGCATAGTGGGTATTCTATTGCACTGTGGGTAGTCTATTTTATTATTCTAATTGTTATATTGGTGGGCGTGGTTTGTTAATTTGTTTATTATTTACTTTGTTTATTTATTTATTTATTTGTTTGGATTTATTTATTTTACTTGTTTTTTTGTTAATTTATATTATTTTATTTATTTATTTTTATTTCTTCTTGTTCGTTTTCAGGTTTCGAATTTAAGTCGCATAGTAAAAATTGGTTTTCGTGTTTTCATTTATACTATAATACATCTAAACCTGTACAGAAAAAGAATTGTAATTTTATTTAGATATATATTTAAAAATGAGGATATGTGGCTTGAATTGGAATCAATCTGGTTCAACATTTGTCTAGATGTATTTGTTTTTCAACCACAAGAGATAGTACGACAAGCCGGTGAAGAATGCCGTAGAAGTCCGAAATGCAAAAGTAGATAATGATAAATATTCCTCATTCCAAAACTGATCAATTATCAAGAATAAGCAGATAGAAATTAGACGTTTCGCTGTGTAATAGTTAATGAGTTATTGTAGTATACTACTAATCAAGTTTGGTGGCTTTAGTATTCAGAGAGGTATGTACTCTTACGGATTTCTGTAAAGCTAAACTAAAATTAGAAGATATCAACAGTAGACCTGTCTGTAGAGTTACGATTTATGAATTATTCTTGCAAACTAATAATCCTGTATAGTCAGATCGACTCACCGTCCCCTTTGGTGCGTCCTTGTGTTAGATTGAGACAAGTCTCTGAAATATCTTTTCAGAATCTCTTTTTTTGCTTGACTAAGTTATATTGATATCTATTTTGTTTATTAATATCTAGAAGAATCAAAAAATCCTTCCATCTGATAACAGAAGGAATGGCGGCTGGGTCTTAATATAATCTGACTGATTTATATTCCTCATTCTCTGATAGTATTTTTATTTCTGCTCTTTGTATACATATCTATATTCTTTGTTCACGATTGAACTCTGAAAAACGAGGACCAATAATCGGTTATCATTTTCTTTTTAATAATCTTTGATTTCACCCTTTATTTATTTATTTGCCTACCTTAACTTTTATAAACTTTGCTTTAATATATTCTTATATATAAATATATATTTTGAACATGTGTGTTAAAAAGTTTTGTACCCATCACCCATTTTTTTAGATGAATATAATTGTTAACATAAATTAAAATTGTACTAAAAAATTCCTCACCACAAAGTCGCTATTGTAACCAAATGTAAGAACCATTTGACATTGGACTTAAATACTTCAAAGATACATCACTGGTGTTTTTTTGGTGGGGTAGAGGGTGTTTTTATAAGTTTTTTGTCCAAAGCAAGGCGATAATGCCGCTAGAAAGTAAACGGTTACAAAGAGTGAAAGTGAAAGAAAATGAGAAGACTGAGAATGAGGAGGATTGAGGAAAGGACAAAAAGGAACAGGGATCAAGAAGACAGATGACGACGATTGAGATTGCATTTGAAGTTTTAAAGATTGTAGTTATGAGGAAAGCAAGAAATCGGAAAAGAGTTCCACAGGTGGGGAGTACAGAAAAGGAACTGTTTGAATAAAAGTGGTGGTTGCATCTAGCTATTTCAACAGTAAAATGATGGGACCTAAAGGCCAATCTAGTAGCACATTTAAATTCAGGTAGTCAGGGCAACAGGAAAAAAAAAAGATTATCAGAGCAGTTGGTATGAAATATTTGTAGAAAACCCAGATGGAACCCACGTCACATCTATAGGAAAGTAACTGAAGTCAAGATTGCCGGTCCTGATCGATTATATGTAAGACCCTATCTTCGTATTTTGTCAAGAACATATTTTGAGACATTTTTAGGGGGCTAATGTGAATGGTTCTTTCTCTAGCGACAAACATATCAAGCACTCCGGACTAAGCGTTATACCTAAACATTACTTATTCTACTGTAATAGACTCTCCCACACATAATAAGTAGTAGTAGTAGTAGTAGTAGTAGCGGTCACCAGTTGGGCTCAGTGGAGTTGAGTGAGTCAGTCGATGTCGGACATTGAAGTATCAAGCATCACAAGTAGATTGCTGTGTCATTAACTCTTATTTCAAGTTCCTAACCTTTTGTACGTCGGACCCTTTTATACACTGTGAAAACTACTCTACAACACTAAGGAAAGTCTAATCTTTCTGTTCATAAGAAGTAATAAAAAGAATGAATAAAAATATAATTCATCCACAAAGATCTTTGCAGTTAAGTGAGTTTAACGATTAAATAACACGAGACTCCATTTTAAAATATTTTATTCACATTAATACCTCGCCAATTACTCTCAGCCTTTCTCTGTGTTATAGCGATTTACCAAAGGTTGCTTAGATGTGGCACAAAGCCGAAAGTTTTGGGTACCCAGTGAGGATCGAACTCACTACTCAGTCGGAATTGTTCTAGCGAGACAAACTTGCTAACCATTACACCACTTCGAGGTGACCAAATCTTATGAGGATAGATGCTACCCAGTGAGGATCGAACTCACTACTCAGTCGTAAATGATCTAACAAGACAAGCTTCTTAACCATTACATCACGTGGAGGTGCCCCTCTCTCTGTGTTATATACCGTACCTATGAAAAATAATGTGTATGTCCCAATCCTCATAATAAACACGTTTGACACTATTGTAAGTGAGTGTAATATACTAAGTAGTTCACCACTAGAAGAGGTTTACCTACTTCACGCCGCTGGTGAGTATTGTATTTTGTTGATGTTATATAGATTACCATTGCCTTATCAACATCCGTTTTGATTATTGATTATTTGATCAGTAACCTATTCAAGGTTGCAAGACTCTGGTATGAGACCTCCATTGTCACTCTAGGTACGACACGTGGACACCACATTCTCTGTCTGTGATGTGTGAGAAACTACTTGGGACTGCCAGGAGCGGTTGGTTATACATCGATCTGTCCAACATTGTCGTTCTCACGCATGCAATTGCGAATGTAGGTGTGAGGTTACATACTCATATATTCGGCGGCCTGGATTAAATCCCAATTCTACACCCTGACGGTTTGATACCAAATTCGAATACACTGTGTCGTACCAGAGAATTTTACTTGTCAGAATCTGATGTAATGAATATGCATACACCTCGGTTCCCTCCCACAGTAATATGATTGGCTGGTGTCAGCCATAAATACAGACTGATGTGGAGGTACAGGATAGGACGCCTATTGTCTTCGCCTATTGCCTACCACTACGACGAGGACCAGTCCATTACGGTTACCTGCTAGATTGCCCTACTCGGTTACAGTAGTCAACAACCACTTTCCTATTTCGAACAAATATATATCCATTTCCGGGACATATCAATATATATATATATATATATATATATATATATATATATATATATATATATATATATATGTAAAGACAAATTTTAAACTTATTTTAACCGACTTTATCACAGCAAATGGGCACATTGCTTTGATAAAGTCTCTCAGAGGACGAAACGTAGCGAGGAAGATATGTTTTCTTTTAGCCTTTATTCATACTGGCATTTTACACATATACTCTATCTGCATCTTTACATACACGCACGCACACGCACAAACATATATATATATATATATATATATATATATATATATATATATATATACAAGATTGACTGATATATATATATATATATATATATATATATATATCAGTCAATCTTTGTGGCATGCGTGATACACGCTTAGGCGATTATGAATCTTTCGATACATAACTGACGAGGCAGATTTTTTCCCGCAGTAGTTTGCCATTTCTTTCTGCGGTAGACCAGTTTCTATCCAAAGCTATAGAACCCGGTCTCTCCTGCATTTTACCCATAGTTGGCAGGAGAAGAAGAGTATTCATACCTTTCCCAAGGTATTAGCACTTAAGTGACTGTAATAGATTCGACTAGAAATCGAACTCGGCTGTCCGATTCCTCAATTCGAGTCGCTATCTATATTTTTAATGCAATATTGTCTCTCCAAAAACATTTTTCTTTCAATCTTATGTAATGAATATGCATGCACCTGGTTCCGCCTCACAGTAATATGATTGGCTGGTGTCAGCCATAAATACAGACTGATGTGGAGTTACAGGGACTACGACTATTGTCTTCGCCTATTGCCTACGTCTATTGTCTACCACTACGACGAGGACCAGTCCATTATAGTTGCCTGCTAGATTGTCCTACCCGGTTACAGTAGTCCAAAACGACTTTGCTACTTCGAATAAACATATCCCTTTCCAGGACATATCAGAATCCATCTTAAACATTTATAAATCTACCATTCATCTGTGCATCGAAGATTGCTGCCATATATGGTCTGAGGCTCATACTATATGTCTCGAGATTCTAGACAAAATTCAGAGAATGGTCTGTAATGTAATCGATCCTGGCCTAGCATCTTATTTTTGTCATTTTCTCAACGATGTCAACTGGCTTCCCTTCCTCTTTTATACAAATATTCTCATTGCAATTCTACCGATAAGCTTTCCTTCTTGATTCATTGACTGAATGATTTTAAACGGGTTACTAGATTGGCACTTAGGTCTCACTGTTGAGCTACCTAAATACAACTGTCAATTCTATTCTAATCTATTTTATCACCTGTGGAACACATTCCCAATTTATTACTTGACTGCTACCTAAAATCTTCAAAAATCTAAATGCATCTTCAATTCTTTTATTGTCCTTTCTCCTCACTTCTCACTAAATTTCTTCTCATTCTCTTCCACTCCCAATAACTTCTTGCGTCCTAATAGCATTACCGCCCGGCTTGGGATTAAATTATTTTCTTTTAAAAATCGGACATCTGTCGAAATCTGAGGCGCTGGGAAAAGATATCTCCAGAGAACTTTTCTGATAAATATTTAAAGAGATAAGATTAATGGGAGCGTCAAGTCGATTTATGCGAGCAATGGGAAAGTCGACATAGTTGCAAATGAGAGGACTGTGTCTACAAGAGGTTGAAGCAAGATAATGACTTATCAACGGAACTTGCAATCGATGAATTGTCAATTATTCTTAACATACGAAGAAAAAGAAAAGAAGGAATATTAAGGAAAACTTGTAGAAGTCTGGGAAAGTGGCAGAAAATGTGCAGCGGGGTGGCGGGAGAAAGAACGAAAGACCGAATTTTTGAAAAGAGCTCGAGCAAGTCTTGGAGTAAAAGACAAAAACCTGAACAGAAATGGACAAGGGGCATTCAAGTTGAATTTTCAGGAATGGTCCAAAAGGTAGAAAATCCTGTTTTTTATATGTTTTTTTTTAATTTGGAGAATATATATATATATATATATATATATATATATATATATATATATATATATTTATTTGTGAGTGTATATATATATATATTTATATATATATATATATATATATATATATATATATATATATATATATATTTATATGGTTTCATCTCACCATGGTGAATTTGTCAGGAAGGAGACTTCCTGATGTTATCGAAATGGAGGGGTCAATCCCAGCGTGCGGTACCTTTGGAAAGTGCGTGAAAACCATACCACGTGTTGATCCAAACCTTGCGAGTGAAATTGGGTAGACGGGTCCTTTGGAGGCCGCCGATAGCTGTGTTAGCACGAAGTCACAAGTCATCGTAGCCGAGGGCTTGCGTGTTCTTGCCTTTTTCAAATTACGGATCACACTAGATAATACGCTATTTCCCAGAAAATGTAACTATAATCTGCTCAGCACAGTTACAGAATAAACGACAGGCGGGCTCTGTGGGTGTTAAATAAACACAAATGCGCCTGAGCAGGTGTTTGCAATAGGAATTGACTAGCAGCCCTAGTAGACATGTATCCTCGAATACGAGTAGCCAGTCATATATATATATATATATATATATATATATATATATATATATATATATATATATATTATAAATTAATTGATTTAAAAATATGTTTTTTCTGGCTACGCAGTTCTAACCATGTTTCAAAAATAGGTTAGAACTGTGTAGCATGGTTAGACATGTGTAGCGGAAAAAAACATATTTTAAATCAATTAATTTATAATATTAATGCTCTGTAAATTTACATTGAGCACTATTTTGTAAAAATAAAAATATCTGTTCTTTCTTTTTATTTATATACATATATATATATATATATATATATATATGTGTGTGCGTGTGTGTGCGCGCGTGTAAAAATGTATATATATATATATATATATATATATATATATATATATATATATATATATATATGCAGTTATATATATATAGATATATATATGCAATTTATATATATATTATTTATATATTATATATGCGCGGTACTTATTGGAAAGCGCTCAATATCAGTGATAGAGCTAACATATTTAGCTGGATTGATGCGAGTTTGTGATCATGGGTTTCACGCTGTTTGTGATCGTCAGACAAACTGATTAATTTTTAAATTTTGGATTTATACATGGTCGAGTATATCAGCGTTTTTTATAGTAGTGGGAGGAGAAATTGTCGTCGGAACGTCACTCATACTTACGCAAACATATATAGACACACATACACGCATTGACAAGCATCTACAAGCATTGTATACATAGCTTGTTGAAATATAGTGCGAGCCAATTTTATCTCAAAAGGACATCGGTTGAACTGAGACAATCTATTGTGTGTATTTATAATTATAGTTAACTCTAAGCATTCTTCAAACTTTATTTGCAAAGACACTTCAGAAAGATCCAGCATGTCATCCTGGGTTTCATGCTATTTACGATCGTCAGACAAATATATAAATACAGAATTCCCAAGACCTGGCATTGCAATATATTGAGATATATACTAAACAACCGGTCAAGTTGTCCCTTTTGTGGCAAGAGCTTCGAGGTTATATATATATATATATATATATATATATATATATATATATATATAAAGAACAGTAAGATATATAATCCGGTGTTCTTATAGATATTTTATTTTACAAAATAGTGCGCAATGTAAATTTACAGAGTATTAATATAAATTAACTGATTTAAAATATGTTTTTTTTTTCACTACACAGTTCTAACCATGTTTCAAAAATGGAAGCTAAATGCTTTGAATTTAATTTTGTAATTAAATTAAAAACATTAGTTCCATTTCATCCTCAAGCGAACGTTGGAGTAACTTGTTTTTAAATATACTGAGTTTTAAAGGCACAGCAAAAATTCATAATTCACTGTTTCCAAGGATACAGAGAAATCCAATCATCCAGACAAGGGGTGGTAGCGTGTTCATTTTTATTAACTTTTGTATCAGTTATTAGTTACGTTCGAAAAAGGGGTTACGTTTAGATAGGGGTAGGTATGTATTTTTCAACGAATTCTGACATCCGTTAAATGCATGTCGTCTGGGTTTTTTAAAATTTTATTGTTAACGGCAAAAAATTCTTACGGCATTTTTTCTATTTGTATACTTAAAGATTTTTGGGGGATGTTTAGGTTAGAATACGTTTTAATTAACTACAGTTTAAAAATATTTTGACTTTTAATTTTTAATAGACTATATTTCTTTTTAAAACAATAAATATATTAGAATTACTTACAGCATTTAAAATTATTTTTTCATATCAAGTATAAGTATGAATATTACTAGGTCACATTTTTAAAATTTTATATTTAAATATTATTTAAGTAAAATTAATGACAATGACGGCAAAAAATAGCTAATTCATTTCTCTGATACAGTAAACTTTTATTTTTTATAAACTTAGTAATACATAGTTTCTCATGTATGTACAAAGGACTTATATATATATATATATATATATATATATATATATATATATATATATATATATATATACACACACACCTAGTGAGCCAGACAAACCTACCTAGGTTTCACGTAACGGATCGTCAGGGGAAAGTAACGGATTTCCCTGAAGATCCGTTTAGGTGAAACCTAGGTAGGTTTGTCTAACTCACTAAGTGTATTTAGGTCTGCTCTACGGTTGTATTGAGCGCTTTTGTTAGTTAGTTGTTTACTCGTATCGGGTTTTTTTCTTTGGGCTTCAGACCTGTATCTGTGCGATTTTTTTCGACACACTTTTATGTTTCTAGCTCTTTCTGTTTTTAAAACCTTTTTTTCCCTCGAGATTGATTTGAATATTAGCAGATCAAAAATTCGAGGGTTTTTCGAAACGAGTCTAGTTATCTATGATTATATATATATATATATATATATATATATATGCAGAGTTCGCAAGACCTGGCCTTGCAAATCAGAGATATATACTAAACAACAGGTCAAGTTGTCCCTTTTGTGGTTAGAGCATTCTAGATTACATAAAATAATATTTCAACGTGCCAGTGTGTATTAGGAATAACTGACATCACTTGGAGTTCGCATGTTGAAGCATTGTCTCGAACAACTCATGTACTGAGATAACGGTGTGTCTCTATACTTTGCTTATGAGTTGAGACACGAACATCACCATCCAGCTGAAACCTCTAAGACTTGGAGAGGATATCAAATAATAATAAAAAAAAAATCCATAATTTCCCAAGTTCAGACCTTCACACCTAGGATCTGCTATGCCACGTGTTATACTCATTTC